ATTTTCCTAATCTGTATTATCATTTAACTTATTGCGGAAAAACCCCATTATCAAATCGCAGGTTTCTTGAATTTCCCGAAAAAAAATGGTGGTTAGGAGGTCGTCTACTTCAATTTACCTGTGGCCCAACTTACCATTCTGGAGTTAGATTAGTATAGTCCGCGGCGCAAAGCGCCGCGCACACCTTAAATTTACATGCGGAACAACCTGCTCCCAGCGGCCGCGGGGAGCAACTTCGACTGGATTTTTTTCGCGTTATACTTACTTCTAAATATTTCCTTCTCTGCCTATCCTATTTCCCCACCCCCAAATCTCTATAACCATCGTTTTTGCAGGACAAATGCTGGGACTAGGGGTATATGAATGTAGCTACATAAGCTACTTTTGCCGTCAAACCTACAGGATTTTGAGCGATGGCTTGCACCTATCCGTATTTTTCGTCTAAATAATTCAGAGTAAGCCGGTTTATGTGGGAATTCGGGTTCGTGTCCCTAATGGCTCTACTGAACAGTTATCCCTTAAACCTTCTTGGCGTCATTAAAATCAAATTAGTGGAATGATTGCATGACATAATAATGGCGCCACTAGGGAAGTGATAAAAGATTACATTTTTCTGACACATGTTCGACTGTTACTATACGTTTTGATCGGAGAATCTCAAGATACTTATTTAAGATGCTGCTCGGCTCTCAAAAAGACCTTTCGATTCTATCAAGAAACTCAACCATTATAATGTTAACAAGTTATAGTCAAAACTTATTTACCCCAACGCCTGGTACTAGTGTTGAGGATACATTTCAAAATAAAATGTTATTAACGTGTTTAAGATAATATATGTGCAGGTTGGTACATTCAAACTGTATGCTATTTATTTCACTATGAACTGTCACGCAAACCCTTCATAACAATAGTTAAGGTTACTAAATATACTAATAAGAAGACTCGATCGCAGGGACAATATATTTATTCGCCTGGCGTTTCGACATCCGTCGCGGATTCATCGTCAAAGACGTGAACAGTAGCAGTAACAGACCCGTTTCTGCCACTGTTCAGGTCTCTGATGATGAATCCGCGACGGATGTCGGAACGTCAGGCAAATAAACATATTATCCCAGCGATCGATTTTTCTTCTTCTTAATTGTTTCCTGGGACACGCATGTTCGCTTGTATCGACTAAATATACTGTTAACATGTTCCCTTAATGAGGCCCTGTATTAATATCCTGTCGCCAAATTCAAGTCCCGGAAGGAAAAAAGCGGCAAAGAAGATAGCATAATTATATAAGTCGACATGTTCAGATGACATTAGTGGCATTTCTTCAACCTGGGGCTGACTAGCAAATTTGTTTGGACCCACTTGCCACCGTGAACAGGCCCAGCGCATTGTCTTAGCCTAGTCAGGGTTCGTAAGGTGTTCCGGGTCGGTCTTTTAAGGTGGTGCGCGTCGCGTATGACCGCTTAGCTGCCTGTAAGACGGGTTCGTAAAGTCGCATAAGGTTGGACCAGACGGATAGGCAGGCTGTTGCGATGGACGGCTGACAGCCACACCTTCGGAGCTGCACTTGCTGCATTATTTCGGCCTACTGATTATTTTATTTTACACGTCCAGCTATAGCCTTTTGCTGGCTCTGGTGGCGGAATAAGCGACTGAAATTTGGGGCCGTTTTGCATGCACCAGCTGGCCTGTGGGTTTCCTTTGTTCTCTTTCCCCCAGGACGGCCACAGTTTCAACTAGCGTGCTGGGCCGTCCTAACAGTTTTGGGAGAAAAGATGACTATGGGCTGTAAGTTTTTGAATGGCATGAACCCAAACGCTTTTTCCGCTATCTGGTTGTCTTGCTGGCGCAAGCTACTAGATCATTTGGTCCTCAGAAAAAGAATATGAAGTGCGTGCATGTGGTAAATAGAAACAGTTAGGTTCAGTCCGTTGTTTACCATATTTCTGATTACTGAATAATAATCTGAATGTTTATCTAACCCGCAGCGCTTATTCAGAACCTATCTATCACTTGAGTCCCTGTTGCCATTTTGGCGTTCAACGATATATTCGAGTAGCGGGCGGGAAATTAACATGTGCAACCCAGGTATGACATTGTTCATCAGTGTACTTCCAAACACATGGAATCTATCAGAACAGATTTAACATTGCAACATTTCTACGGCTTTACTATACTGATTAAAGTGGAAACACATTGCAGCAAGCTTACATCAAGATTATGCCTGAGTTCACAAATTTCAGCTGTGGTAGAATTTTCCGCTGATTTCGTTGTGTACACTCTATGTAGAATAGGGCAACAATGACGAACATTTCCGGCAATCCAAACTTTCTTTTACTATTAAAAATGCAGGAAAAGAAGTCAAGAGTGGGCAGTTGGCGCTTGCAAATTTTACATCTTTTTTTAAAAAAAGATGCCTCGACACATCGCCACCCAAGCTGACGAGTGCCATTCCCAGTACTGCAGCACGACGCATCCTGCAAAGAACTGGACACTTTGAAGGTCCAGCCGTTGTAAAAAAGGCGGGTTCTACACGTAGATTTAGTGCACCATATTGGACCACTGGACACCCAAACCTAACTTTACTATACCCGACATTTTAGCGGTGTGACGGTGACAACAAACAGAGTATTTTTATTTTCCTTTTTTAGCTGGTGTCAAATCAGTCCGACCGCGGAAAGGGAGGGGTGCGCTGTTCGTGCAGCAAAAAAAACATCCAACAGTCGAGGACATACTTTTTTTTCGGAAAAAAAACGGCCAAAATCGGCCTGGGAAATAATTCTTACAAAGGAAATGGGTAAGTGCCATAAACTTTATTTTCTCGCAAGGGACAACTGAGAAAGCCTTGGGACTCGTATTTTATCTACATGATGAAACCTCAATAAATTTAACAATAAGGGTGCCTATATACCTGAAAGCTATAGGTTAACGTAACTCCAACAAAATGACTTCATGCAGTACAGTTAAAGAAAATGTTATTGAAATACTAGTGCTTTTATTGGATCAGAACATACTTGGACAAAGACCTAGGCTATATGCAGTATAGTGCGTAGTTCAGTAAACTGAACTAATTAAAGGATTTGTTTGGGGTGTACGTCAGACGGAACGGCGCGTTTTAATCAGTAGGTACAGCATTCATCGCTACTGAAACGCGTGATTTGTCAGTTCTATATAAAAGCAAATTGGAATTTCTGGGAAGCTACAACCCGATGACCCCGACGTACTGGGACACGCAACTGCTAAAGTTGGCTGCTCCTCTCGACTTCAAATTAATTTTTCTGTAGCAGTTAATGTGACAAAGATGTGGCGAATTACGTTAGCTACACCTTATCGTGAAAGGAGATAGAAATCATCAAATAATCACAGGTCCTCAAGTTCCAGGCACGTTTTCATTCGATCCAGCTGAGCAGTCCTTCCATCGGTGCAAGTAACCGGGATTCCTTCCCAATATCCCAAATCTTACCTCCATCATAAGTGCTATTTCCTAACTCAAACCAAAAACTACTGACATGACTGTCAAAATGCAACTCAACCACCAACCTTCTTAAGCCGCCTTGATTCCTTCCTGCCAACTGCAGGCGTCCTAACTGACGATAACACTACCATGCGTATGTTTCGTATCCGCTTGTTTTAACTCTTCCTATCCTTCCGTTCGAATTTTTTAAATCGAATTTCCTTCTGGGCAGGGAATACTTGTAGTGGCCCTACTTCGAAAGACTGTCGTAACACAGCATCTCTCGCGAGTACTTGCACGTGCACCATAGTGGCAGGGGAGTTCTCAACCAACCAGGACTATCCAGAGTAACCAATCACCTTCAAGGCCAACTCACGCCGGCTGTCGCTGAAGGTGCTGGGATTTATGCTTCTCACACGCGCACATCCTCGGGAGGCCGCTATTGCAGCTCCAGCCGTACTTTCCTCCGGCTACTAAT